CCCACCAACCTCGTCCAGTGCGCGAGTCCACTTCCCAGTCGAGAGCGCTAAAGTGGATAGGCACGAGGGGTTCTGTCTGAAGCCGTGTTGCAGAGCTGAAAGTGGTTGGTCCTGCTCCAGGAACTTCATGATTGCTTCTCTTAGTATGGCTCTCCTTATTTTCTGCAGATGCAGGCGTGACTAACAGGCCGGATATTGTTAGCATTAGTGCGAGCCTCGCCCTTGTATATCGGAAAGATATCTGCCATCTTCAATTCGGTTGGCAGCCTCCCCAATTCTAATGACGAGCGGAAGATGTGTGCTAGTGGATCGGAGGGATTGTTCGCCAAGTCCTTCAGAAATTCGGCCATTATTTGGTCCGGACCCGAGGACTTTGCTTCTTTAAGATTTTGTAACTTCCTTTCCTCGACGGTTGTCGGAAAATGTATGTAGTCAAGCACGGGACCAGCAGTCTCGACAGCAGTGTTGGCACTGCAACTGCGAAACTCTGTTTACCTGGTGAAAACCGAGACAAAGGACCGACATAATTGTTCGGCTTTCTCGCTGTTTTCAACGATTTCTACACCATTGTCATCCTTCAGTTTTCCGACCTGGTCCTTGTCTCTCAGTCTACTGTTGATATAGCGAATGGAAATTTTGTGCTTCTGTTCAGCATGTTGGATATTTCTAGATCCATACTCCTTCCGTGACTGACGGATGCATTTTATAACTGTATTCTGTTGACGACGAAACTCGTCGAGGTGCATTGGTAACTCAGTTTCCCGGAATATCTTCCATCGTTTGCATTTATTCCGTAACTGTCTATTCGGGCCCCTAGTTAACGAGGCAGGTTGGTTTGTCGTCTTTTGTAACCTATGTGGGCACAGCGCAGAATTAGATCGACTGAGATCGTCTTATACGATCTCCAGTCTTTCTCTGGATCTCCCATGAGCAAACGGTCCCAATTCACGGACATCGATCCTTTCCTCGTCGTCCTAAAATCTGCCTTCCATATATTAGGTTGGTCTTCCGTTTTATTCTGTCATTGAGAGAAGAGCGAGTTTTACCGTATAGCTTGTTGTCTGGAGGATACTGTGCAGCAAATTAATTAGTCTAGTATATTGTTTTTGACAGAATTGAAGAGACAGTGCTTTTTGTACGGCAAATTGATCACCTTAAACTTTTACGATGAGTTTCTTTCCAGTCGGATTCTCCGAACCGAACTTTTTAAACGCCGTAACCTATTGGCTGGTTTAAACTCTTATTAAGATGTGGTTAATACGGCCTTGTTTTTTCGGTGGGTAAGTTATGACATAAAACACGTCTCTACTATAAATCCAGCGTACAATAACCACAACAGCTTCACCCTTATATAAAACACTGTGGAAAGTCATCCTTAGCGGTTAGCGGTTTAGTGACTCTACTACACTCCCCGGGAGTATCGGCCGAAGGATATTGTTGCATCGGTCACTTTATTTGTTTTGGCACGCGAACGTCCCAGGGCCACATAATTACACCAGAAGTGCTCCTTCTGCAAAGCAACATCACCAAATTTCGGGCGCACTGACCTCCGGTAACACGACTGATTTTAGTTTGAATATAGGTGCATTCAAACAATCACAGCTGTGCATGTCCCACTCGAACATGCCATCAGACGACCAGTAAAACTCGAGACACTACGGGCAACGCAACACATTCTAAGTGGGCAGCATTCGAATTTGTTCCCACACGTCCTATTAGAGAAGATAATTCCACAGATGTTTTCTTCCTCAGGCATGACTTAACATCATCATTGCACGCTCTCTGTTTATTATTGGTTACATCCCTAAGAAAGGATAATCCGGGACGTTGAGCACAGTCAAGCCTTACTTCTGATGCTTTCGGTTTTCTCCTGCTAGTCGGGAGTTGAGTAGCGTTTGTAGCGTTTAAAGTATGCGCATTATTTAGATGTCACAGCATGATTACGAGACTATAGCCATCGCTATCATTTGCCACAATATTGCACAATGTACACTTCCGATTATTCGTGCGAAAGTCGGCGTCCGGCTGAAGCATATCCGGGTTCGATCAAACGAGTCTTTAGAGCAGATATCGTAAAACGGGCGGTTCGCGTCTTCAAACTGTGGTAAAGAAAATCAGAGTCAACACCATCCATCATAATAAACGCAGAACATTTCCATCCGTTTAATATGGGATCACATCGGAAGGGTTGACGACTTATTTGCGAAATCTATAACTTTCTAAGTTGGGATGTGTTAACCTACGTCTGAGCACAGAAGAGGCATCCTCACTTTCAGACGAATTCTCACACGCCCGTATCGGCTGGATCAGGTTGACGGACCCGTCTTGGTCATAAGCCAGACGACGACGTTTAAGGCAGGCTGACAGTAACTTTCCCCGACAAATTTCTTTATGACACCGAGAAAGTGACACTGGGAATTTAGGACGCCGCCATCAGGTTTCCGAATCCCCACACATTTCCTTATTTTGTGGGTAGTATCGCTTCCTAAGATTCCTCATCAAAATGTTTATTTTTTCGATTTTTCCATTCATGCATCGTGCTCCTCACAGAATAAGCTCTATCGACACTCTTGGCGAACCCTTCTGTATTCACCATATACTAGTAGTCTGGTCACATCTCCCTTGCCCCCTCCTCGACTGAACTCGGCTGACTATATCTGATCGCATCTCGGTTCCTATCGCCTCGAGACTGGTTTTCTATTCGCCACTTTGACATGAATGGCCTCATCCGGCATATGAATTCTGCCTTGATGATGCCCGTTTGGAACCTTTTATCAATACCACATATAGGCCAGTCCTGCCTGACCCGCCTACTTCCCCCTTCATGAACTCCGGTATACACGGCCATATACAGGCCGGTCCTGCCTGCTTTTTATACATTCAGGACCGAGAGTTTTTTTCTCCTATAGAGTTAATCTAGTCCTACTTATATTGCTTATATGCTAGGAGTTTTATTTCACTGCTCGGTCATCATTCTTCGTGGCATGCTACTTATTCAACAACTATGAATTAAGTATTGTATGGATTCTGGATATCTGTTTTAAAATTCTAAAATTCACGCTAAATTCATTCTTACTGACTATAGCCGGGCGCCCACGGGCTTGAATAAAAATTATTGTTATTGTTATTACAAATTAAGGATCAAAGTCAGTAAATGAGTGAACGAAGCTTAGAATAAGGACTCGGTTCTGTGTACAGGCTCCTGTCGCAGACTTTTGAAGTTTAGCCGGCAGGCTGTGAGGACATAACCGTCGTATTATCGCTTGAACCCAGGATGCATGTGTTTAGATTACTGTCATAAGGGCTTTCTTCCTATCGCAAGTTTGAAAACGGGGTAAGATAGATAGACGATGATAAATTTAATCTCTGCGATCTAGAAATTTCGCGCACAGGGAACAAAGCATGTTCGGAAAAATTGAGGCCAAACTGTGCATCATGTTTTTCATCTTAAGCACAAGCGCGCTTACATAATAATAATAATAATAATAATAATAATAATTTTTATTCAAACCCGTGGGCGCCCGGTTATAGTCAGTAAGAATGAATTTAGCGTGAATTTTAGAATTTCAAAACAGATATACAGAATCAATACAATACTTAATTCATAGTTGTTGAATCGGAGGGACAGGGAGCATCGTCAGGGTGGTGGTATCGTTGTGTATGCGAATGACGGTCTGGCAGTGTCGGATAACACCACCAAGTTTGCGTGCAGTACGGAAGCTATCTGGTTGACCATCAAGGCTACCGGTTCCCCGTGTCTCGATGTCCTCACTGTCTACCGACCACCTAGGACAGACCATATCGCCGACACCCAACTATTGGAGCAGTTGCAGGAACTTTCCAGTCGACCTAACATCATGATCATGGGCGACTTCAACGCACCAGGAACAAACTGGGATACCCTCCAAGCGTCAGGTCCAAAATCGGCATTCGATTATCGCCTGTTGAGCAAAACATTAAATGCGTGCGTCACACAACATGTAATGTTCCCAACGCGAACACGTGAAAGACAAAGGGCAAACAGCCTGGATCTGGTCTTTACGAAAACACCAGGCAGCATAGACGAGATCACCTCCATGCCGCCCATTGGCCGAAGTGATCACGTATTGCTTATGTGGGATTATTCGTTATTCTCCATTTCACATTATCCAGACCACAAAAGACGGAATGTTTGGCGGGGCGACTACAATCAGATGAGGGCAGACTTATCCGGTCTTGACTGGAGCTCTTTGTTTACGGGAAGTGCCAACGATGACCGGGAGCTGTTCAAGAATGTCCTTCTGCAGCTCATCAACAACCACTGCCCACTGACTAGTGTAAGACTGAACAAACGCCCTGGGTGGCTAAATAGCAACCTCAAGAAAGAAATCAACAGGAAGCACAAATTATGGAGAAAATACTGCGTCACTAGACAAGCTGAATGTTTTAACACCTACAAGACACAGAGGAACAAACTGAGGAAGCTGATAATGCAGACGCGGCGGGAATTCGAGAAGAACTTGCTACAAAAAGCAACGCAGAACCCAAAATTGCTCTACAGCTACCTCCGTCGAAGTACAAGGAACAGGTATCAAACCCCCTTAATAAAGACTACTGATGGCGTTGATATCGCTGATAGTAGGGATAAAGCTGCGTATTTTTCACGGTTTTTCCAATCAGTCTACTCAAACGAGGCAAGGTTCCTTCCTCCCTCCACAGAAGAACTGCCGACTCCAAGCGTCAGTGATATACTCTTCTCAGAAGGCATTGTCCGAATGGAATTAGAGGCATTGAGCGAATCAAAGTCACCAGGACCAGACGAGATTCCACCCAAATTTCTGAAGGAAATTGCCAGTGAGCTCTCTGTGCCTTTGTCGATGCTCTTTCAAACGTCATTTGACACTGGAACACTTCCTGTCGATTGGAAGCTGGCGCATATTACTCCGCTACACAAAGGAGGTAACAGGGCAGTGACGACAAATTACCGGCCCATAAGCTTGACATGCATTCTCTGCAAAGTTATGGAAAGGATCATAAAGAGTGAACTGATGCAATTCTTGGAAGTTCACGGCCTGCTATCGAAATGCCAGGGTTCAGTTCGGGGACCCATTTTGTTCCTTATCTACGTGGACGATGCCGCAAGAGATTTAGACTGCGAAGTTGCAATGTTTGCGGATGACATGAAGATATGGAGTGTAATTCGGGGTCCTGCCGATGAAGACAGACTGCAGATGAACCTGAATCGGTTGGAGGAGTGGTCAAACCGTTGGCTCCTGCGCTTCAACGTTGCCAAATGTAGCATACTTCGCCTAGGCAACACAGCCAGATCCGCCAGCACAAGAGGCTACTTTCTGGGCGGTGCAGCGCTACAAGAGGTCGAAGCCCAAAAGGACCTCGGTGTGCTTACGACGAGTTCCCTGTTCGAGGGTGGCAAAAAGCGCAATGTCCGTACTGTACGCCATCAAGCGTGCGTTTATGGACTTTGACGAAGAAGCTTTCTCTAAGACATTCGGAACATTCGTCCGGCCGCACTTAGAGTACGGCATACAAGCTTGGAGTCCGTGGGCTGTTGTGGACCAAAACTGCCTCGAAATAGTCCAGAGGAGAGCCACGAAGATGGTTAGGTGTCAAAGCTCCTTTCCTTATGCAACCCGCCTAGTAAATCTGAACCTCTTTCCTTTGAGTTACAGGCAACTTCGCGGAGATCTCTTGCAAGCCCTCCGCATTGTAAAGGGGTTGGATTGCAGTCTGGCCTTCGAGGACTTTTTTGAATTTGCTACTACGACCAACCTCCGAGGTCACCCGTTAAAACTGCGCACTGAGCAGGCACGGCTGGACGGGCGGAAGTTCTCATTCTCTGTTCGAGTGGTCAAACCATGGAATGAGCTTCCCGCAGATGTTGTGATGTCACCATCTATACAAAGTTTTAAGAAGAATCTGGACATATTTATGTTCCGAAATGAACAAGAGCGATGAGAAGTCGAGCTCACACCCTGTAACTCCTTCTCATTTTGTCCCACCATTATGGGCGTGTTCGAACTATTTCAGCCCAGAACATCTATCTATGCACCACACATTTTTTACGTTGTAAATAGGGCACTCAAAGGCCTACGCCTATTTCCCTCAATAAACTGAACTGAAGTGAACTGAACTGAAGTAGCATGCCACGAAGAATGATGACCGAGCAGTGAAATAAAACTCCTAGCATATAAGCAATATAAGTAGGACTGGATTAACTCTATAGGAGAAAAAAACTCTCGGTCCTGAATGTATAAAAAGCAGGCAGGACCGGCCTGTATATGGCAGTGTATACCGGAGTTCATGAAGGGGGGAAGTAGGCGGGTCAGGCAGGACTGGCCTATATGTGGTATTGATAAAAGGTTCCAAACGGGCATCATCAAGGCAGAATTCATATGCCGGATGAGGCCATTCATGTCAAAGTGGCGAATAGAAAACCAGTCTCGAGGCGATAGGAACCGAGATGCGATCAGATATAGTCAGCCGAGTTCAGTCGAGGAGGGGGCAAGGGAGATGTGACCAGACTACTAGTATATGGTGAATACAGAAGGGTTCGCCAAGAGTGTCGATAGAGCTTATTCTGTGAGGAGCACGATGCATGAATGGAAAAATCGAAAAAATAAACATTTTGATGAGGAATCTTAGGGATCGATACTACCCACATGAAATGACAATGAAATGCGCAATTCTCCATTATTATACCAAAAATTACTGGCAGGTTTAGCATGCTTTTTACTGTAGAGAAATACCCCAACGAATTTATGTCCTGCGCCCTCGCAATGATCAGTTGTAGACGCGAAAGCGCGTCAAGTGAGGTCCTGGGTTACTATGCGTTTCATAAGGTTTCTCCAAGGCCACAGATTCGTGGTCGTGTTCAATCTCGAAGTACATAACTATTAAAGAGCCCTCATTTTGACCAAGTAAGCTAAAAAGGGCGTTGTAACCAAATCGAGTCATGGTTTTGAGCTATGTTTTGCGGTTGCGACTGTAGCGAGCAGCCATCATGACCAGTCTGACGTCATTGGTCAAGAAATCGCTAACTCAATGCCATTCCATCTTTTCAGTGAGCCACTTCAAACGCGTTGCCCTGAAGCCAAACGGCCAACAGCTCGGGCATAACCGCAGCTGCCCATTAGGCCACTTGAACGCCCCTACTCCATGCAACTTAAGCCGCTGGGACATCACCCCTTGGCAAATGTAACACATACTCACGAGACACTACTCGAGCTGGGCCCACGAGCCTACAGAAACGACTGTCACCAGTGTCCTAAGGGCTCTTAGGTATAACTGGATGCAGTCAACACCAGCCCTGGCTTCGCCGGTGATCGTTGTCGCCTCGAATGACAATTCCGGATTCTGTATACATTGAGCCCCTCATTCTGCTTCCTTCTGGCTTGTCCTTCCAACATAGGATTTGACTTGATGATTTCAGCGCACAGACTACACACTTACACCGCTTGGTCACAAAACAAATATGCATACTTATTTGCAACTGCAAACTTCGAATTATCTGGCTCACCAAAGTTGAAACGAACACAAAACATCTATTCTCTCAATTGGATCGCCTAATTACATATTCTTATTCAACAAAAGACTCGAATATGCTCCCGTGAAGCTACTCCTGTGACCGCACACGAATATTTTAAAGATCCGCCTACAAATAACGTACCAATTAACTGTGGAGATCATTGGCCAATAGCCATCACCCGCGGGGCTTTCAAAGTATATAAAGTTGGGGCCGCTGACTGTACGTGGTTGCGCGCTCCCAAGGGCAAAATGTTCAGGAACACCTTTCAGAGTGGCTTCCTCTCTATGCTGTTTAGTATGGGCTCCAAGCCTTTGCAGATATGGGACAAGACTGTAAGCATGCGATATCGTAGTATTTGCCTCGCTGTAGTGTTTTAACGCTGGGGCACTTACACTTTTCATTAAACTTTCCATACTAAGATTGTAACTCCACAAGCTTCCACCACTGAAGGGCTTTTTAGTCTTGCATCTGTCGTTTGTGTTGTGGAAAAGTTTCTCGTGCAACTCCATTTTGCAATACCTGTTTGCCAGATTGACCGTACCATTCGAACAGATGGTAAGCGGTATGCAGTTCGCTGTGTACAGTGCAATTCAACCACCAGGGATCTGAGGACAGACATCTGAAATTTCAACCCTTAATACAAGCCGTTTTCTATCATTTCTTGACTATGTCTAGCGTCTAGAAGATACGACTCGGTGTCGTTGACAGCCGACTTCGGAGATGGTATTAGCTTTCTTACACTGTACGGGCAGACTACACCCTCTGACAGATCACCCGGATTTTGCAGCGGGCCGTCCTCTGTATATCACGGATCTTGAATACGGCGATAAGATTGTGCTGCTGCAAACATGCAGCACGCAGCATGCCGTCATTCTGCTTTCCCAAGTGAGTCAAAGACAGCCATAGTGGATTAAAATAATTTCCTCCAATGCGACGACAGTCGTCTCGCATGTCGTCGTCGGTAATATTTACCCAGTTACGACAGGTTTTGAAACTCTTAAGCTAGTTACCAGCTTCTCTCTACGCGGGTCAAAGTTTCTGCGACCTCAAAATACGAACTGGAACAGCAGATCAACGGGGGACGCTTGCATACGTCCTAATCACGTGAAATTGGAGGAATCGGTGCACATTCACATAAAAAAACCACACCTGGCGTATAAAAGGGTTCGACCAAGACAGGCACATTTCTCACTGCAATCGCCTCAGTGCTACCGTGCATTCCTGTGAATACTTCTCTTGACCGTTCGATATGGCTCACGCTCCCAGAGGATGTCCTCCCTACAGTAAGCGTTGGGGGGCTTTGACTAGTGTTCTGTTTCCTAATTTATACTCCACCCCTTCCCTAACGTACGACTACACGGTCGGTTAAAACTAGACTGCTTAACTGCGTCATCCTTATTCACCGACCGAGATTGCTTTTCCACGGATTCTAGCAACCTGAAGTTTGAGTTGTCTAAGATTTCGTTTGTCGTGACGCCATCGCCCACTAACTAGCGTATGTGAATAACATACAGAAGACAGAAATTAACATGGGTAAACGGACTCTTGCGGTTCTACTGTTAATGATTTACTGGTATACCGATCGATTTAACTCCTTTCAGAGGTCTGCCATCAATCGATTTGAATGGACAACATCAGTTGTAGTGTCGCCATCCTATAAATTGAAGATAAATGAAGCAGCAGTCCTAGTTGCCATTCAAAGAACTGAAAAGATTGTTGCGACTTTCCAAATCTAAGACCCAGGCACACCAGATTTGAGTCGGCGGCCAGTCGAGGTTCCGCATTCCTACTTTCTTGTTTACTCATCGTCGCACGGCCTTTATAAAAACAAATTTGAAAGACTGTTCCTGATAATCGATATTGGGTACGGAGATTGTTATGAGATTTCTAAAAAATCTGCAATGCAGGCGACTCTACAAAAACCAATTGAATTCATTGTCCGAATTTTTTGCCCCTAATAATTCGGATCACAATCAAAACCACATGACAGCAGTGGTAGACGAACTTACTTGATGGCGGTTCACGGTCGCCATGTCGCAGTGCGACATCGAATTTCGTGGTATTTTATAAAACATTCGGCGTGCCAGACGGCCCTCCACGCCCTAATGGCGCTGTAGCCGCTGGTTTGCAACTGCTTATACGTCAGGCCCGACAGCCTGACGTAGCTAACCTTTACCGAAGGCCATTCCACTAGGTCCCACCTTTGGACGCGTCGGATAGCTAGCATATAGGCTAACTAGGGAATCTGTCTCCTCGGAGTGAATTACGCCGAGTATTTTGAATGAGAGTCCGCAATCACTACAGGCCGTTCAAAAAACGAGAGGAGTAGTTTTGCCACACTCGTCGTCGTCCGTTGCCCTCGCGATCCGGCGCTGATGCCAATCTGTAGGCGTCAAATGGGTCAACCCGAACCAGTACTGACATAGACCCTCAAGGCATAGACTTTTTTCTTGGACCCTCGGTATTCGGTCTCCGTCGTTGAAGAGGATGGGTCGAGCTCTCAAGATCGTTGACGCAGACCGCCACACATGGAGAGACGGATTTTGCGACATCATCGGGGCTGGTTAGATCGGCTATCATCACAATTCTACTAAGTACAAGTACAGGAGGATTTTTCGGGTGATATGCTTTCTAGGTCAGTTGCGTATATTTGCTGTTAGTACTCCGGGATTCTATTACTGTGCAGTTTTTTGAACTCTTACAGTCTAGAGTTATATTGCCTGACTTCAGCCCATGTGTGGACTTCCGCACGCTACAAACCTAACGACGATGATTATGACGTCTGTTTGTGCTTTAAATTTGCCTGTACCAACACTGTGGCAGTAAGTTACAGCGTCAGTTCTAAAAACAATTTCACACGTCAAAGCGAGGTTGTTTCTGGAGTCCGAAGTGACCGGTTGATTGAGCAGTTATAGTTTGAGTACTATAACCGAGAGTTTTTATACCCACACTGTACTTTTGTAGTAGGAATTCCATCACAATCAGTTGACTCCATTCATAATCATTTCCAGCATTTCTTGGCTTGACACAGCCACGTTCCTAACTGCTTCACAATCTGATCACCGCCATACAGTCCGAGAACCACGCGAATTTATCGTTTCTCTTATGGGACTACTAGCCATAACACTGAGACATTTTTATGATAAAAGTAACGTACTTAAACCACCTACCTCGGCACCTTCCAGTGAGTCGGGATTTCCAACATAGGAGACAGTAAGTCTGTTCCTACTAAACTAGCCCCACGTTTTCTTTTGAGCCTAGTTTCGTCCGAAATACGCTTACTTTTCCGTCTTCGATACTCCTCCTTTTTCATCTTTTTCCCCTTAGGCTAAGAATGGGCACATAAAGCGCATTACTGACAACGATATACAATCTCTCGTCCTTGAGGTTGTGGGCAATAACATAAGGTCCGTCCAGTGTCCTTAATATGCAGCCTGCCTCTAGCACTACCTTCATCAGCTGCCCTGCAGACCCATCCAAAGCTCTAGGCATAAAGCTGCCATTTCTAGTGCTAATCGTCAAAAATTTGAACAAATACTTCTCATTTGAAGTCCAGGTAGGCGAATTATTCCTATCTTGCTCTAACACACTATTGACCTTCAGATACAGGATGACAAGGGAATCCGTCGACGCTTTCGCGCCAGCAACTACCAAAGCACAACTCGCGTAAAGCCATTCATATGCACCATGCCTATGCGGCTAGAGGAGGGGTGGAATCATCTTCAACTTAACTTGACCGATCTCACTAAACGCGCTTATGGAACCAACTTTGTGGAAGTTTTACGTATTCAGGTGAAGTTTGGACCATCTAGCATCTTTGCACATTTTCGCATTTGAATGAACCACATGGACGTGAAATTCGTTAGAACCTGGTGGCTCAGTTTAGGTCCATCGAGTTTTGCCGCATCCTTATGCCGAGCTTGCTAGCATGTGACGACAGTTCGAGCGTCGTTGCCGACGATGTCCACCGTGTGCTCTATGGCAAGGTGCAACAGGCACAGTGACTTGCGCGTGATTTCTTTTATAGTGGTAGTAGACTTGCGCAGCATATACCGCCCTCTCTCCTCCTCCCCCCACCTGGGCCTCATGTCAAGCCATACTCAAGAAGACCGGGAGTGGGAGATGGCACAGGTGGCTGGTGCGCTACTAGGCGTGCCGTCACACCCGGCTCGGATCCTACGGAGTGGGAGTGCCCTAAAAGCCACATTAAGAAGGAGCCATTGCAGTCTAACTCTTAGACTACCATTCGGCCGCACCACACAAGCACGCAACACTGGGCCGACTGCGAGGTCCAAGTTATCCCGTCATTTGGCAACCTTCTAAGTTACGGCTCTTCGGGCACCGTGATAGCCTTAAGCGCGTCAGATTTTTTATAGTGAGAAAAGTGCGCTGAGTCGTCGACCTCTTCCTCATCCCCCATTCCTAGGCCCCAGCCACTGTCAGAACCGGCCAGTTGACAGGTTCGGGGATTGGGCGCAGTGGCTGATGTATCTAGTGACGTTGTCAACGCACGCCCCCCCCCCCAAAACAAGCACCAGGATTTCGCACAAGAGGGTTGAGGGGCATTCATTTCACATGCGTTAGACTGCCATTGGTCACGTCAAGAAGGAGCCGTTACAGTTCGGCTCTCAGCCTATCAGTTCGCCAGTCCACACAACCACATACTTGGGCAGACTGCTTTGACTGAGTTGGGACGTCAGTCGGCAGCCTTCCAAGCCACGGCGCTTGGCGCACCGTGGTAGTCTCAGACTCGGATCACACATACATTAGAGGAGCCGCATGGAGAAAGAGCCGAGAAGCACATTTCCCACTTGCGTGCGAGGGACCAATTGGATGCTTGTGGTGGATGATTTTGTGTGATGCAGGTATTGGTGTGGGAAGATGTGATAGCGTTGTGTAGCTGGCGATTGTCTACCACAGGTTCTCGTGAGTGTGCATGTGACCTAACAGGCCCATGCGGTGGCTGTGTGAGGGCAGTGCAGGCAGTTAAGGCGGATGCGTCTGGTGTATGTTGGTGCTCCTGGCACTGGTTCGCTAGTCTCTGCGCGATGGATTCGTAAGTGACCGACCAGGCCGATGTGTGAGGTGAAGATGCGATGACAATGAGGACAGGTTTGGACCGAGTCCACATCATTGATGTTGGCAACGATTAGGATGATGTTTGTCGGTGTGTCAGGGTTGTGTTCAGTGGTAAGGGGGGAGGAGGGTGCAGGAGCAGTCGCAGCAGATGTTGAGGCGATGGAGAATGGCAGCGCGGGTCCAGGAGTGCGGTTAGTGTTGTCGGCGTGGGGGGCGAGGCAGAGGTGGACGCAGAAACACTGGGTTTTGTCGTCCGAGTGATACAGTTGGTCCGGAGGTGCCTAGTAAGGCTAATTGGTGCGCAGAACGTCCTCCGACATTGTGGGCACGTTGGGGGCGATTGAGCATTAGCGTTGAGAGCTGGGGGAGTTGTGGTTTGCAGGCTTCGTGTTTGGCTTTGGCGTCGTGAACGCGATTGGTTTCGTAGATTGCCGAGCCTGTCTTCCCCGTTCTCCAGGTCGTTTGGTCTTGGGCAAAGTCTTCCCGGTTGGCCGGGGTTGCTTTGCAGGAACTTCAAGGAAGGCATCAGGGTGCCCTTGTAGCACTGGACTTAACCACCTTGTCTGCCGGAACCCGTGGCGACATCTCCGTTGAAGAATCGTTTGGGTGGCCGCTCGTTGTCCATCCACATGAGGTGGCCGCTCCAGTGCAGTTGCAATTGTCTCAGCATGGCGTAGGTGCCGAGGATCCCTGTCCGTTTCAGTACATCTGTGTCCAAGATCCGGCCCTGCCGCCTCAGCTTTATTATCTGCTGAAAACAGCTCAGGTGGAAGTGGTTGAGCCTCCGCGCTTGCTTCTTGTACGTCGTCCAGGTCCCCGCTCCATATAGCAGCGTCGGCAGAATGACTGCTTTGTACATCTTGAGTTTCGTATCGAGGTGGAGACCGTGTCGATTCCAGACAGTGTTTTGCTGGCGGCCGAAGGCTTGGCTGCCCTTGGTAATCCGGTGGATCACTTCATCGTCGATTTTGGTGTTGCGAGATAGAGTGCTGCCCATGATGAGCGAAGTTGTCCACGGCTTGCGGCTGGGGACCGCTCGCGCTGATTTGGGGTGCATTGTAGGTAACACTGGGTAGCGGCAGGTGCATAACCACTGTCTTCTGTGTGGATGACCAGGCCTACGTCGCAGTCGTCGTCGAAGGGGGTCCATGTTCCTTTGCATGCCCCCGCCCTTAGTGTTGTTGAGAGCGCAGTCGTCGGCGAAGAGTTCGTGGATGGTAGTTGTGAATACGCGTGACTGGAAGTGCATCCCTCTATGGTTGAAGAGTTGGCGACGCGGGTCCCGGAGCGTTCGTCACGGTAGGCGTCCATTAGCATGGCAGAGAACATGAGACTGAAGAGGGTAGGCGTGAGGAAGCAGCCCTGTTTCACTCCGTTGGTCACCGCTCATGCCTCCGAGACAGCTCCGTTGTCCGTTACGCGCGCCATCATGCTATCGGGGAGCTGACGCCCCATCTGAGTGAATCGTTCGGGACAGTCGGATTTCCGTATGATTTCCCAGTCCGTCGCGATTCGCCATATCAAAGGCTTTCGTCAGATCCACGGAGGTAGTGTAGAGGTGGATCCGCATCTCCCGACACTTCTTGCAGCTGACGAGCGGTGGAGATAATGTCGCTGGTCCCGCGGTTACGGTGGAAGTCGCACTGGCTTTCCGGCAGGAGAAACTGTTCCAGATGGTTGTTGAGACAGTTGAGAAGGATGAGAGCGAAGATCTTCCCGGCGATGTTGAGGTGGAAGATACCTCTGTGGTTGTCGCAGAGGTGACGGTTGCCTTTTCGCTTGTAGAGATGGGCGGTTATGGCGTCCTTGAAATCCCGAGGGACTTCCCCTTGACGCCACATCGCCTGGAAGAGCGCCGTCTGGTGCTCCATAAGTCGGGGGTCACCGTGTTTGTATATCTCAGCATTGATCACGTCCGATCCGGGCGCTTTCCCGCTGGAGAGCTTCTGCACGGCCCTGATGGTTTCGTGTACATAGGGCGGGAGGTCGGGATCGGTATTGGCTTACGCCTGAGGCAGACGAGCGATAGCAGCGTCGAAGATGGTGGAGGGACGGTTGAGGACGCTTCTGAAGTCCCCGGCCCATTGTTTCAGAGTGCGTCTTCTCAGTGAGTAGGGTGGTTCCGTCGGTGCTGAGAAGAGGAGCAGTTGCTTTGACTGTGGGATCGTAGACAGCCTTGATCGCAGCACGTACTCACGTGCCATTGGATCTCCTCGGCCTTGCGATCCATCCAGGCCTCCTGCATCGCCCGCAGCCGCTGTCGCAGAAGGCGGCGAATGTGGTAGAATGCTGCTTTGTTGTCGGCGGGTGCGCGGTTCACGTAGGCCTTGTGAAGACTGTCCTTCTGGAGGAGCAGATTGTTGATGGCGTCGTCGTCGTCGTCGTCGTCGTCGTCGTCGTCGTCGTCGTCGTCGAACCAGTCCTTGTGTTGACGGGGTGAATGGTCGAGGACCTCCGGGGCGGTTGACTGGGTAGAGTCCCTCAGTTAGCACCATCGGTTCTCCACTGAGGCGTCCTCGACGGCGGCGGTGATTGGAAGGTTGGTTAGTCGTTGAGCTGGCTCGTTGACGAAATGGAGATGATGAGCAGGCAAAGACAACAAAGCAATATTCAGCTTACCTGGGAATCGCTTAACTTGAGATCTCCTGCGTGGCTGTAGGCAGATCCTCATCGTAGAGTGGACGAGGCGGTAGTTGGTCTACCCGTCGGCACCCGGGATAGTCCTTGTCACCAGCATGTCCCGCTGGTCTCGCCTTCGAACGAGGACATAGTCCAGCAGGTGCCATTGTCGCAAACGAGGTTGCATCCAGGCCGCCTTCTCCCGGGTCGGAAGGTGAAAGGTGTTGGCCAGGATGAGACGGTGTTCTGCGCAGGTTCGTAGGAAAAGCAGGCCTTTGCCATTTGGGCGGCCGATACCGTGGCGACTCAGCACTTCTCCCCAGGTAGCATGGTCTGTGCCGACACGGGAGTTGAAGTCACCAAGGACAATCACCTTATCCGCCGTCAACACAGTCGGCAGGAGGGCGGGCAGGTCCCCGTATAATTTGTTCCCTGTCACGTCAGGGCTGGTCATTGGGGGGGGGGGAGGGGCACAAACGCTGATGATGGTGGCCAATATGCCTCCCCGGAGAGGCAGGCGTATGCTCGTCAGGCGATCGTTAATGCTCCGTGGCAGACAGGGCAGTCGTCCCACGATGTCGTTCCGGATGGCAAGGGAGACGCCCGCGTCCCGTCGCTCTGTTTTGGGGCGACTGCCCCAGAAGAAGGTGTAGGCGGCAGCCATTTCCTTCATTTGGCCTTGTTCGGAGGACGGGGTCTCGCTGAGTGCAACGATGTCCACCTTGTAGCGCACCAGTTCTCGGGCCACTAGCTCCGCCCTCCGTTCCGGCCGATTGCTCCCCAGATTGTCTAAAAGGCAACGAGCATCTCAGGCTGCCAGAGTGAGTGGACTCACCCTACCAGCCTGAAGTGGGGCGGGGGGGGAGGAGGAGGGGGAACAGGGTATGGTCTCGTTTTTGGCTGTTTCACCCATGTGTTGTGCATCTGCCAGCTACGGTCTGCGCGAAGAAGACATGATTCCAGCATTTGTTCAGGGCACCTTTTCTAGCTCCGCCCCCCTCGCGGGGGTAAGCAGCGCTGTCCCTAAGCAGAGCAGATGCACACGCGGATACCCTCACCTGGTCTAGCCAGCCGGTCGATGCGGTTACTAGGGTGTGCCCGCTAGTCAGGGCCTAGCTTCGGGGAGCCACATGTGAGAGTTGGCTGCGAGTTAATTGACGCTAGGCTTAGTCAACACCTGCAAGCAAGTGAGCGACCTATTACGATCATCACGTGGACCCACAACTGGACGCCCCAACACCCTGCTTGCATCCCACAGCTCGACCGTCGTTGCCGACGATTTCCACCGTGTGCTCCACAGCGAGGCGAGAGCAGGGACGGTGACTTGTGCGTGAATTAGTTTATAGCGAATGTAGATCTGCACAGCATCTACCGCACTCTCACCTCCTTCCCCACCTGGGCCCGGTTTCAAGATGGAGTCCAGAAGACCCGAGGTGGGGGAGGGCGCAGGTGGATGGCACGGTCGAGCCCGCACCTTGGCGTTCCACCCCACACCCCTACCGCTTGCATACTATGCATATAACGCAAGAACGATAGTTTGCGCTGTTATTTGTCGACGCCGGGCCCTGAAAGGCACGGACATGTGATTGACAGGGCTAGTGGAATACTTCCTGACCGTCGCTTCTTCGATTTGATACCACATTGGAATTAAGCTCCAGCCAGCGGACGGTGCGGAGGTCATTACCAGCCCCGTCGGACAGCACTTACTACCCGTACCTATTTAATACTAATGCGAGAGTTTTATCTCCATTCATGCACTTTCTGGGCTGCACACTTTTATTCTAATGTACCGAGTTGGGAAGGCGCAACTTAAGAAGGTAGATTCTTTAAGCATTCCTGCCGTCCCTGCTCAAACTAACGAAGGTTTTAAGAAATCCCACGGAACTCTGAATTGCATGGCGCTGTTTTCCTTAGCTGGTTCACCGTCCTGATTGTGTTGCACGATACTACTTAAACGTTGCGGCGTAAATCTGGCAAGTTTTTCAAACCTAAGGACCAGGCGCCCAATCCATATGACAGTGCTGGCCTACTTCAATCAATGCCCGCCCTACCTTAGGCAAAGTCCCCCTAGATACCAGCGCATAACTCGCGGATTCAGCAAATTAAATGGCTTATCCTACATACTTGATTTAAATCGGCATGTCCACTTGCTGCTAGTGATATGTATATTTTCATAGAGGGGCGGTAGGCAGAATTTATTCGGTCGTTTCGAGGAATGGTTGGGTTTTGACCACAGATCATTGTAATCGCCATGACACTGTCAAAAACTATGTGCTTGCGAAGACCCTGTAATATCTATCAACCCGCCATCCAAATGAGACTGTCCGGCCAGTTTACTTTGTTGTTCAGTCAAAAAATTGTGTACCATCGTTATTCCCTTGTTATTCATAGTGTTACAAATATCGCGCGATTAGCAAGTGAAACATGGATTCTGTTGGCAGCCACACTCTAGATGATGGCTACCATTACGGCCACCGCTGCACCACCCCTACGTGTGTGGCCCTTGGGAGACGGGTTAAAAACGCTAGGTCAGCCACTGCGTCCATGGTTTTGCTATCAAAACTTGATGAGCGGAAAAATAGAGGTTGAGGTTGGTGCTATACAATCACCTTTCACATTGATCAAGTTTCGCGGCAGCCATCGCTGTTTTTCGGGGTGGTGGTACTCCTTGCCAAGGCTGGCAGATGCATCACTGGGGCATGTGACTATGACCAGCTCGTTTGCTGATGCAACCATATAAGGACGTCGATACGTCCGCCGGCAAAATACGGTGAAGTAAGTCTGCTAGACGGGACAGTTGAGACTCCTCGCACCACCGGTTAAGGATATTATCGGATCTACTGTTGGTGTTTTTGGATTCGTATTTCACTATACCATTGTCTAAATTACTTGACAAAAGAAGGGATTTACCAATTGAGGCGAATATGCGAGTTCAAGGTTTTTGCCGCCTGGAGCCAGGCTAATGCATCTACTGTCGCAGTGATCGCGCGTTCATCTTCTTTGCAGAAAACGTATAGATATAAGTCAACGGGCTCGTGGCCCAGTGGCTAGAGGCGTTGGACTTCTAATTAACAGGTCGCGAGTTCGAGTCTCGGGTGTTCCACACTGTGAGGTTGGGTATGAGTGGCTGACGACGGCTTAAAAGCCAGAAATGGCTATTCCAGTCTCCCTTGCCTTTGCCGGTAATGCCATTCTGCCTAGATTTAAGTCTGTATCGGACTTACCGGCTGGATTATCAGACTTGTGGTACGTGCTCCGTTCACGATGTACAGCACAAATCGGAGTCACTATGCTGTTACGTTGACGCATTCCGGTCTCATGGCGGCTTCTCGTAATCAGCCACCCGCAAACGGGCGAGTGGGAGGAGAATAAGATCGTATAAAGAAAACAGAATGAATGATTTCCATGGAGTAGAACTTTGCGCGTTATCAGATGGCGTATCGGAGCCAAAATGCAAAATGGAACAGTAATTAGTGAAATTAAATGGATCAGAGC